GCGTACTGTATATTATTATTATTACGTGTATTGTATAATGTGCGCGCGGGGTGAAATAAAGGCGCCCGGGGTGGAGAGGGGGGGATAAGACGGAATGGGAAATAATAATAAAAAAAAAAAAGTTTAAAAAAAAGCCACCTTACCCCCCCGGCATCGGGCACATCATCTACATGTATACCTACCCTATACCTGCCTATATACCTATAGTCACATCTCTTGCATATTAAATACGCGTTTCTCTTTCACGGCCGCGCGTCTCCACGGGGGTTTGTAATTATTACGTGCGCACGACACAAGCGGGGATGAGCCGGATAGTTTTTTTTTTTTTTCACTTCTCTATTTATTTATATATTTATTTTTTGTCTTTATTCATCGCGAGTCCGTTATACTAAAATCTCACGGACTCGAATTATCATCAAGACGATGTACCGCCGCCGCTGCAGCACACCAATACCACCGCGGCTCTGTGCCCGGGGGCCGTTTTTTTTGCCCTTTTTGTCTTAACGGCTTCTGCTGTGCGGCTCCTCGTACATCACATATACCTATATATATATATACACTATATTAGTACCTACTTAGGCTGGCTGTGTACTATTATAATATGTAGGTACTCACATAATGACTATACGAGACCGACGACGTTGCAGCCGCGGATTATAATATTATTATTATTATTATTAATATCGTGATAAACATATTATTAAATCATACACGTGGACGTGGAACGAAGTGGAATTCTTCTTCTTCTTCTTCTTTATTATTATTATTATTATTATGCACAACGTTTTTTTTTTTCCAAAACTTTTTTTTCGTCCGTTATCCGGAAGTCGGTTAAACGAAAGGGTATATAATATATGCCAGGGACGATTTTTTTTTGCATTTCGATCACGAACAACGGATTTGGTAAAAAACAACAACAGAAGACGAGAACACAATATCGTTGTATATAGGTACCTTCACTCCGCGCACATAATACCTATACTGTATATTATAATATAATCATTTTTTATTCAATCGATTCAAAATTATATTTGAAATTCTTAAATCGGTCGCAACTATTAGTGCGTTTTATGTCATTATATTATTATTTTACTCATAAAGAATACAACTTGTTTGTCCGGTATTTTCGAAGGTGGAATGAATTTAAACCTAACAGCAATAAGTTTTTCGAAAACGAATAGAAAAAACTCTAAATTGGTCACGAAAGTAGCCATACCACGGTTATAAAATCAGAGAAAAAACTTTATAGCTAATAACAATCTATACTGCATGAATATTTTTTAAAAGGGCATGTGTATATTGATTAATTATTAGAGGCTAAAAATAAATATATTTCTTACAAAATATATTTAAATTAATCCAGAGTGTCTATATACATTATAAGTATGATAATAATCTGAAAATCGATATCAGTACTGTCGATGCTAAAAGTTGTTTAATAACAAAAAAACTAAAATGATATATAAAAATAACTCTTAATTATTTGCCTATCAAATGCATTACATGCTGGCAAAAATAAAATATATTATGACACCATACTGGAGTGTGCATTATAATTTTTAAAAATTATTCATTAATTAAATTAACTAGGTACCGAAAAGAAACAACTGGTTTAGAAGGTAACTGCATATCGGGTATTAACTAACAATCTGACTGGTTTAAACACTTTTTAATTTAGTGTAATTTATATTACCTATTTATATAACATTTATTATTAACAAAAAAAAATCTAAATTTTATCAAAACCAGTAATTTGAGTTATATTCTAAATGTCTTTTAGTAACCATGAAAACAGGAGCTCAGATTATCGTCCTCAGATCCATATTTATTACAAACGATGACTTAATTCTTAATTGTCTAAACATGAAAAATAATACTTAAGACTCATCTCATTTTAGTGTCAATATTATATTGATGTTTATACAAAATTACTTTATTCATGTATAAATATATCTTTATACTGCTACTTCCTTGTAATATTATTATTTATATGTATTATGCATATTATAATGGTCGATGGCTATTTTTTCTCATATGTAAACTTTATCTAAACAGTAATCAAAAATATATTTAAATTTAAACAACCAACAAATTAAAAACCCATACAAACAATTAATAGATTCATCGATTTTTATATCGACTCATTCATCTTGGTTTGCTAACCCTCTCTCCGCTTAAGATGATAATAGTGTTTAAAATTTGATTGTAAAAATTATCGCATTCGACGCGGGCTCCGTGATATAAATTTTAGTTTCCGGTTAGATGATAATTTTTGCTATTTTTCCCAGGTTCAAGCAATTTTCTTAAAAACATATTATATATACGTTTTCCAGCTATTACCTACCGAAATATTATTGTAATCTATTTTCATTTGGCCAAATATACCCCTACTGCTAATAAAACAAAAATTGTAATGCCAATATAGTTCTTGCATATTATTATAGAATTTACGGAGAGCTGCTATAGAATTTAAAAATAATTTTAACCCATTAACTTCGTAAATATATTTTGTTGATTATGAATATTTACGTTTATATCTATTACATATTATTTAATTATCATTTTGCAATGTATTCTTCACATTTATAATACTCAGATAGTTAACACTTTATATTAAAGATATTGTATAACATTAAAAACAGAAAATTGTAATTTATTTTTATCAAGAACTTATTCACAACTTATACAATTCTATAGTTACGCTTCAGCGAGCTTTAATTTTAATGGCAAATTTATTTTAATAAACCATACTAAATGGTTATTATGCAAAAAATGTATAAGCGTCTTTGCTGTCATTGAAATACCATCACAAACACTATATACTTATCATCGTTTAACTTCTAAAACAAAGTTTAAGTCCTTGTTATAATGTATAGTATATATAGGTAGGTAGTAAGTACTTTAAACGTATTTATTATAATTTTCTGACATGACTTCAAAGAATCGGTGCAAACAAAATAGTAACATCATAGAGGATAACGCATTATATAGGTACAAGTTTGTATTTAAAATCGATTTTCATGACTATAGTATAAAATATAAAAATTAATTTTGAATTAGGTACTAAATAAAATAATAAAAATAATAATAATTATTATTATTATATATTGATTTCGTTCTTACAGCGGTTTATAATTTATTATCACATAATATAACGATAATAATTCGTTTTACTATTATACAGCTGATGTTTTAAATCAGTCGACAATCATAATATTTCAATAAAGAGGCTATATATTATACAGGCTGGTGCACAAAAAAATAAATAAAAAAATAAATACCGATTCGATTAATTTCAGTCAAAAATTAGTTATGTATGATTATATTTCTGTTCACGGTTTAATAATCTTTGGGAACAAAAAATAATAATAATAATGAATAACGCGATACGAATACGATACGATAATGCGTATATACGAATCGTATAAACAACGCAATAGTTACCGACTCACCATATTTTAATACAATGAGTCGCCACTATTACGACGGTGTGTATATTTTATAATATCACAATAATATTATATTATAGTTTTTGATTGGTGTTATTATATTGGCGTCAGTGGTTTCTTAATTTTGGAAAGATAGTCGCGGCGGTAGTACGGTTCTCACGAATCTTGAGGCTACCGCACGAATAAATCGGCTATAGCTATAATGCATATAGGTATATAGCTATCTGTGTCAGATGGACTTGGGATTTTATTTTCGTGTGGGCTTGCGGGTCAGATGGTCCACGATTTTCAAACGTTATGCATAAAACCCCCCGCGGGGATGTGCGTTGATTATGCGTGAGTATCCGATTTTAACTTGCCAATATTAGGTGTTAGGTACTTTCTTGATTTTTTTATTCAAGTGAGTATGGTAATTGAAATGAAAAAAGTCTGAATTAACTATTAAAGACAAAGTTCTGAAAACCTTCGATGCACTTCTCCTAAGTCCTAACCAATGTGAATCCAACAAGACCCCAAACAACGAAATCCGCTCCCCGGTTTCGGAGTTCTATCTCACAAGATGATAATGAAAATTATTTTTTGTGGGGCTGTTCACACCGACATTTCTCTGGATTCAAATTGCTATACCGCTTGGGGGTGATATCAGATAATAAATTTCTAAAAATTAAAAATCAAGAAAGTTTACATGCCGATCCCTGACTTGGCAAGCTTTTTTTTTTCCAGTGAACGAATGAGCGGTCAAAAGATTATTGACAAATATAATATTATTATTATTATCAATAACAATAAATCAACGATAATCATTATCATATATTATTGTATTGAAAGCTATTTATGGGTGAGCTGACTATTACACGTCGGGGGTAATATTATGCACGACGGGTGCTTATCCTCAAGTGCCCAAGCCGATCCACGTGGGATTGTTATAAAAAGAATCGCGTGTGGTCGACTTGAACAATACCTACTAATAGCCAATAGGTAACATATTATATAAGTCGACTTAAGTAGTTAAATGTAATTCGCATAATAAACACACCGATGACGATTTATATGGTAAAAATATTACATTACGCCGTTACTCCGGTATAATTTACGATACAGCATCGTAAGTCTAGTAGGATTTTTGAGTTTTGTAAGTTAATCTCAACAGTTAACGAATAATGTATATTGTATAATATATTTAATTGTGAAAGTTTAAACTTGACACGGAAAAAATATCACTAGCAATAAAAATGTAATATATATTTTTTTTAAATTACTCCGGGACTAAGAGCGGTGATCGTGCAACTCTAACATTTATAAAATTAAATAATCTGTTTAACTTCTATAGCCTCTTCACCCCATCGAATTCTACTTCGTGTACACTGTAACTCGAGCCAGCAATGACAATGCCGTTGAGTAAATAATATTACTTATTAGAAAACTAACCATTTACAACCCCAGATGGGTTAAAAAGTTCTAAAAAATTGACTTTTTTACTATATATTTTGATGCCGACCATTTCTGTAGACAAGTAGGTCCTTATACCTAATAATAATATAATTGTCATGCTTAAATGTCGTTACTCACCACGTCGACGGCTGGCGTATTCCACATGTAGTGCATGGCGTTTGCCGGATCGGCCGGGTGATGATGGTGATGCGGGTGATGGTGGTGGTGATGTGTGGCCGCGGCGTTGTTCATGTGCTCGGCCATCATGGACATCCAGTGCACCAGTCCGGTGCCGCCCGCCCCGGTGGCCGCGCCACCTTGCTGCTGTAGGTGTTGCGGGTGGACGACCGACCCGGCACCGCCGACGCCACACTTGTTGCCGTTCAGGTGGCTGCTGCTGTTGTTGTTGTTGTTGCTGCTACTATTGTTGTTGTTGTTGTTGTTCAGGCCACCGGCGCCGGGGCCCAAGGTCTGACCACCGACCGCGGCGAGGTTATTCTGCTGCTGTTGTTGCTGCTGCTGCTGTTGCTGTTGTTGGTGTTGCTGCTGTTGCTGTTGCTGCTGCTGCTGTTGCTGCTGCTGCTGCTGCTGCTGTTGTTGTTGCTGCTGCTGTGCCTGTTGCTCCGGCGACGGCCACAGGAAAGCCGCCTTCTGTCGGAAACAAAACAGAAAACGAAAAAAACCCATCAAGAACACGTCATAATATTATAATAATATAACAGCGACAATAATATTATTGCTTGTATAGTGGGGACCTTTGTTAGAGATTATCGTACTGATACTTCGTTGGAACTATTATAAACCGCGAAATCTCGACGGAGTGAATAAAGCTCAAAGCGATAGTAAAATATTTTCCACCCGTCTACGCAAAAACTTTCATTTCCGAAACACGTGCGAATTCTTTACATATTATTATTATTTTCTCACTCTTGTGTGTGTGTGTGTGTGCTTGTAAGCAAGTGCGCAGGTTAGGTCCTTTAAATCGCATACAAACGCCCCGCTATTAAATTTCTAATATCGCAAGGTTATATTTTTCCTGCGATATCCTTTGTCGTCTCTGTACACGCTGAGGAAAAATTTACAAAAAAAAATATTTATGCAATAACGCAGACGAGTTATGTTTGCTCCGGCGCGCATACAATTCCTATCCCTATATTTTTCCATATAAATCACAACGTTAACGTTTTTCATTTTCGATATAGGTATCTATAGGGCCGTATAATATTATTTCAAATTCACAACGTCGCCCATTTTTTACATCTACGAGCCTCCATAATTTAATAGATGTGCGAAAGATCTCGTACTCGGCCTATTCATTTTTCGTTCATAATTTATACCTGTGCACATCAACAATTTATATATAATAATAACTACCAAATCGCCAGTGTATATATATAGTTTATCTAGCAATCAGGCGACACCCACGGATACCCGCTGTATGCATATTATATAGGTAGTTATATTGTTGCAAATTGTTAATAGGCCCAAAGTGACCTTTTTTCCTATATAGCATATTATACCCCGTAAGAAGGGTAGGGAATTTGAAGACCCGAGTAAATGCTAAGTTTTTATTTTTTATGGACCAAAATCATAGGGTTTATTTTATTCTTGACTATAACATTTTTTTTATATCAAATTTAAAAAACATTCTTTTTTGTATGGGTACATCATTACCAATCATGGTATATGAATAGTAAAATCAACAATTTTATTCCATAAAAATACATTTATGTAATAGTATATATTTTCATACACTTCTAATCGTAATATGTCTAATGTCAATTAATATTAAAAATTAGTTTAAAAAAAAAAACATTACATATTACATTCAATGACTGTGTAACCTCAGTAATTGTAAATGTGTAGGTTTATTAATTATGAATATTCCTTAAGACTTAATAGTACTTAGGCAAATACGGAGTTCCACTTAATATTATGAAATGTATATACTTATTAATCGAAATAATTTGTATAATGATGCCAATCAATATACGTTGACGTAATAAACGCTATACAAATTGTACAACTTTGTATTTATATATTTTTCAATTTGTTAAACACGTATAGAGAGGGTGTATTCAAACAACATCGTAATTTACTATTTCAACTATTATCATTTTTCAAACAACACTGTGGCCACATTATACGTTTTAAAACCTATAATGAATCTCCTATACCACGAAGGCTTAGTATGTGTTAAATACTTAATAATATAAATGCTTTGATCTCATATTTACTAGTTATAATATATATATATACACACATTTATTGTAGGTTCATGTTTCAACAATCGGAACAATTAGACTCTAATGTTCTTAAAATTGTATTCGTTTTCATTTAAGGAATTCGTCGATTACTTGACACGACATTATATTATTGAATATTTATTTCTCATGTCAAATGGACACGCGCGTACGTCTCGTTAAAATATAATATAAGCTTATGTTTGGAAAAAAATTAGCCTATATATATGTTGTTCAACACGTGTAGATGCTGAAACGTCGAGTTAGCATCGTTTATAAAATAATTTTACTTTCTAAGCAAATTTATGTTCATGTATATATACCTAAATAATATATTATCTGTCTCGGTTTTGAATAGTATACAGTAAATACTATACTGTTAAATACTTAAAACAATAACATTGATAGTATATTATTACTCGTTTAAAATCAACTGCATTTTGTGGAATTTTAATTTTTTAAAAAGTCATTATGAAAATTAAAAAACGCCATATTAATTTATATAATAATTACCGCAATATTAATATGTCAAAGGAAGAAAGGTATGAAAGTTGATTATATAAAAAATTTTTAACGTTGTTATCACGTCATATTATACGGGTCCCGCATTTAATATATTATTAAAAAAAAAGTGTAAATACAAAAAATTAACCAAATATAAAAAAAAAAAATGGCCGTCAAATTTTATTGAAACGTCCGCACATTTTAAGCTGCAGTCGGTATATATAGCAAAATAATTAATTATTCATTTCCTCAAACAGCTTTGATCGTTCTTTTGATTCGTCAACAATTGTATAGTTCGTATTTATATTATATTATGTGCTATACAATTACTATATATTATTATAAAAACCTAAATACCTATAATACAATTTCAAAATTTAATCCGAACATATTGGCGGAACGCTTGACTTTTGTATTTTTCTTAATAAAAACCGACACATGGCCATTTCCTACAAAAGTTTCAAATACAACGGGTTTAACGTTAAGGACTTTGACCTAGTTTGTAAGTTATGACTTTTGGTCGTTTCCGTATATAACGCGAAACTTCTAAAGGGCCGGACAAACGTTTTCATCTTATCATCTAATAACACTGTACCGATTCTTTTGAATGGAGATAGTAATTTAGTTAGCACTCATAACAGATATACAATATAATAATATTGTATATCTCTGAATTGTATATAATTTTCCATAATTTTTTTAATATAAATGTTTGATTATGCGTATGACGTCAGTAGAATATATATATATGCTTATGCAATTCAGTTGGGATACAGTCTCAAAGATATTGTAATAATGTATTATATGTTGTATAATCAGAGTATCAGACATAGATACGATTGTACGAGCGTATTTCATGTAAGTACGATATTAATAAAAAAAATCATCATTTCAAAAAAAATCATCAGTTCAAAATTGTTTTTAAATAATATCTATGTCTTGATTAAACGTCCATTACTATAACATCCATTACATCTTGATTACTAACTAAACTTTAACAACCAAATAAATAATAATAATATAGGCTATAAGAATTATAAGTAAACACGTATAACTTGGTGTGTAATTTAGTGTGACTTAGAAATGATATCAGTGATACCTACGTTAAATTTTACCGTATAGGTAGGTACTATAATAGTATCTATATGTATATAGGTACAGATTCTATTTACTATTATCGAACAATTAAAACAATGTTGTAGATTTCATAAAGGTCATAATTATATTTCAATATCAGAACCATAAATTGTTAAAAGGGTATATAAAAACTATATCATTATAAAATACAATATGGATGGTACCTATAGGTAAACCTATCTATACTGTGTTTTATTTTGTTTATCAGTGTGTCAATTTAAAATACAATGAAAACAAATACAATCGAAAATGTAACCAAGTTAGCGTATGTTCTCAGCTTATACGTATAATATAATATCTATTACGTAAATAAATAATATTATCTTGTGATTGTTTTATAAATAGTCCACGATTGTTTAAATGTGCGTCATTGTTACTTATAAGTTATATATTAATGAATAATGGTAAATTAAAATAAACAGAATATAGACAGTATAATACGCGTATAGTACAATATACTGTATAACATATTATTATTATATTTATTGTGTTTCTTATTTTGATTAGATTTTCGACTGGATATTTCGATAAAAAAAATGTCAGTCTAATGAATTATTTCTGAATAGATGTCACACAATATGAAAGAATTTTCATACGCGACAGAATTATATACACGAAAGACACAATAATATATTATTTTGAATACGATTTTGTGTACACGCGCAGGTCGATGACTTTGTGGAAGTGAAATGTGTAAATAAAGAGCCGACTGTCTTAAAAATTACACAATTATATCATACATATTATGTGGTGATCCCGTCAAAAAAAGAGCCACTTGCGATTACGCGAACAAACGGCAATCCACACGAGTACAGATGACGCTCGTGTGCCCTTCTTACAATTTTTTTTTTCACGATTAATATGTTATTATCGGCCTTGGAAATGAAAACTATACGTTGTGCCCAGTGCACATAAATATCATAGCACACACGCCGTATACATCAGTCTTGGGGCACGCGGAGCACACATACATCAACCAGTTTCACGGTTAATTTTTATTTAAAACAATTTTTTTTCCAACCGACTTTCGGAATCAATAAACGACATTGTACCAGAAACACATTGTATTGTTCGGCATTAAGACTCGGTTCAACCTTACGGAACTCGCATGATAAATATTATTATTATTATAATGAATAAACAGTATAATATACGGACTAATTATTGTTTACCGAACGAGAACAATGAGAACTCGTGAAATAGAGAAAACGAGGCCAAACGAAACATTGTCTGGTGAAATTAGGGGAAAAAGGGCTGACAACAATTTACTTATTACACGTGTGGAGTAGAATAGAAATGTAATTCTCACTGGTCGTTTCAAGTGCAGAAACTAAGATACAGTAGTAAAATCACGGAATCAGTTAGCTGGTACCTATATCTCCGTAATATGGTTTCGAGTATATTAGAAACTCTATTATTATGATGGAGGATTTTGTACCCAGCAGTTGGGGATGGAAAATCTTAGATCTGCAATGTGAAATCATTGAATTTTAAAAAAGATTTGTGTTTCTAAGAGGTTTTTTTTTTTTAATTTTAAGTGTTTTATTAAATCTGTAATAAATATAATATCTGAGTAAATATAACCATCCCAAAGTTTATCAGACTTCCATACTAGCATCGTATTTTTTTTCAACTATAAAAATCAAACGTTAACTTTTAAGGCTGTAACCAGTAAATGTAGCTTAGTCCTTTATAAACGAGTGAGAAAGAGAGAGTGAGAGAGAGAGAGAGAGAGAGAGAGAGAGAGAGAGAGAGAGTAACAACTTTTATTAAAAAAAAAAAAATCAAAAGCGGACTGTCTTTCTAACAGGTGGCTTATAGTGACACAGCACATCTTCCAGGCATTATGTTATACAATAATTGGAGTTTAAAGATAAAATAATAATATTATACAGTTTAATATGGTAATTAAGGTATACAATATAGATTAACACAAAACTACATAATACGTTTCTACATATTTTTTATATTACTATATAACTGCGAGACGTTAGAGATGTTGATGAGTATAGGTATATACAAATTTCCTGCAGCATCCAGCATACATTTAAAAACAATGTATAAACATTATGTAAATATTTTATTCGAAGCTATTGTTTAATGATATTTTTAACAAAAAATTTAGATATTTTATGATGTTAATGAAGTGATAAAAATTGAATAAATATTTATAATAAACGTCCCAAAAACTGTCGAAAAGACCTCAGCGTTAATGGTAAATTATCAAAATATATTTCGTAGCTTTTCATAAATTATTGATAAATATCATACTGCAATAGACACCGATATTTATAAATATACTTATTCATCTGTAAAATGTTAAATAGTTTTTTTTTAGTTTGCAAAGAAATGAAATTCGAGGAAAATAACACACGCTAAAATCAAATCATTTTATGTTTTTAAATATTTCTTTGCATTCAATATTAGATTCAATCAAAACCAGTCAAAATGTAAATAAACAGTTAAGAATAATGCCTAAATAATTTTAAATGGAAAATACTGTTTTGTATACTTAAATAAAAGCAACTAGTAATACAATTTGTTTTATTTTTTATTATTAATTATTGTTAGTGATTACATTTTCAAAATTCTATTAATTTAGTGCGTAGTTGCACAATTATATATTTTTGCTGTCTTAATTTCGGAATACTGCATTACTATTATTCAAATGATGTCACGATATTTAGTCTTCGTGTGTTTAAAGGTTGCTTTAATAATTACCATAAAAAAATCAAATATATTGACCTAAAATTTCTTATTGAAAAATGTTAATTATTTTTTTTATTAGATAATACATAAAATAATAAACTTGTCAGTTATTAAAATAATAAACTTATGTTATTTTAGATTCTTAGAAATCTGAGTGGAACGATGAAAGTATTGATTTTACGATATGTGTTTTTTTTATGTATTATAACTAAAATACGATAACCGTAGAGTTTGAATTTTTCACCAAATATTTATATAGCATTTTCTGTACATGGTACAATTTTCAAAATATTTTTACTCTATTTGGGCTATTTATATTTTTTATAGAAGTTGGATAATTGAAATTTTCATTTTTCTTATAGTATTTTCCCCTTTAAATGTCGATAAAAAAATGTTCGCTTGGCAAGTCAAAAGCCTTGAAAATGTAATACAAGGTTCCACCTAAGTTTTTTTTATCAAATTCAAAAAAAGGTGGGCAAGTGGGTACCACTCATTTGTACAGTAGGTGTCACTGTAATGAATGGGTTGAATTTAAATTCATTGATATAAAATTATTGTAATACCTAAACAAAACCGATTCTGGGCAAAGATATTCCGTCAGTCTATATTAATAAGTATATTTTATGATGTGTTGTGCTGTTAAATTTATTTATTTCCTATTAGACTTTACTATCGCTATAAATTGAATTAATTGCATTTTAAAATGTCATTGTGTGTGTATACATAGGTACAATAATATGATAATATTATACGTTAAGAGTTTCAAATACCCACGAGTAATATTTTTAAATTACAATAAAATAGCTAAATTCGATATTTTTAAATTTGTTTATGATTTATATACCTAATAATAAAACTGAAGTTGAAAATCAAAGCATTATTTCGACCCCTTATACATGATAAGTATAGATACATAGACACACAAAAAAAAAATTGTAATAAAAGCACAATACATTGCAAAATCAATGCATTCATCTTTCCGCTTAAAATCTAAAAGTTTATCGAAAACTGATATTAATTTTAGATGAGCTTATGAAGTTCAATTTTTTTTAACATTGAATAGCGTCAAATTTCTCCTTATTCGATTTTTGATAGTTAAAAAACCAAGAACAATAGATATTTAACATTTTCACCAAAATATGTTTACTTTATAATTTTACATAATATATATTTACACAGATATCTATATTTAAGATATAATTTTCAAAATATTTTGACTCTTTTTTAGAATTTTTATTTTGAAATTTTTGTTTTTCTATACAAATGTCCATATAAAAATGTCGTTGGGGAACAAAACTTGACAATTTAATACATGTTTCATCGTAAGTTGTTTTTATAGCAATTTCAAAGTATTAAAGATAGGTACATTGGCATGATTTTTTTTAAGCATTTGAAGTTTAAATTTTAACAAAATCGTTATAATTAGCACAACTATTTTTTAGCTAAAAATGTATAAAATGTTTAATTTTCATAGCTTAGGATTGCAAATCTAATTTAATTTTGTTGTAATTTAAAAATATTTTTCGTGGAAATATTCAACGTAGATTATTGTATTTTATAGACACAACGACAATTCAGACTGAATGTTTACGGTAAAAATTTATTCGACCTAATGTATTACTATTAGTACAATAAATTACTTGAATACCAATATAAAAATATCATATACCTAACATATTTAGGAATATAGACTGACCGTCTTCGCTCAAAATCGTTTTTCGTGTACAGTGACATAATAATATAATCAAATTTAATTCAAATTTAACACATCCGTTTCAGTGACCCATACTACACCTAATATCTACCACAGCAGAGCGTTACCAAAGTGACCGCCGATTTTAAATTCAAAAGTGTATACGCCCAACAATTTATTGAAATAATATTGTATAGGTGTTATATTATGCGTGATCGAAGTAATCGAATAACCTGACGCATTGTAACGTTATGTTGGGTGAATAGTAATATTATATTGTTTTTCGTAACCACTGTGAAAAACAAAAAAAATAAATATTTTTCCCACTCGCGCTGAAAACAACTGAAAACCTAACCATGCACACTGCGTAACGTACGCACCATAGTTTGTATGCATAATATAATATGTCTATATGATGTACCTACGCGTATATCGACCGAGAACGAGTTTTGCGGTTTAGAAAGGTGACATATCGACAGTCGTCGAAAAAACATGTAATCCTCACATGTCCGACTTAAAAATGATTCCAGGAAAAAAAAAACAGTAATTTTTTTATGTTATTAGAAGCAACACGCGTCCCCTGTCGGCGATTGGATATTTAATTTATTTTCCTCTCGGCGGGTGAACGAAAATGACAATTATAAAAAAAAAGAGATACCTAACGTTTAAATACCCCGTATACATAATATGACACCTGTATTATCGCAGCCGAGGGTAAACGTCCGACGATGTCCAAAGCACCCTTTTTTTCATTTTTTTACATCCCGATGGCGGCCTGTACAAAATATAAAGGGAGACACTTATTTGAAATACTCTTTTCGATGATTATTATTTATCAGAACTTCATCCCGAAAGCGTCGTACGAATTTTATTTTTAAAGCGCATTAACACGATAGCTACAACTGTTATATTCGGCTAGAATCCTGCTTCTAGTCCGCACTAGAGATGGGAAATCAGACGAATTACAAGACTAAAAGCCAGTGACCGTTCTATGTATAGACACTATAGGCAGGTATCCACATCAAAGTGTTGATATAACATTATAAATTCATTTTTTTTATTTAATTTGCTTTTTACTGATTATTCTAGGTCGGTATGTGTATACCATTAATACGTTTTTATATGTAACGTCATTACTATTTCTTCTACAACAAACGCATTTTTAACTTTTGAAAATATTATCGAGAGCATAATATAAAATAATATTATTATTATTATGATAGGGGCACACTATAATTATTACGAGTTCAGTGTTTACTGTAATAATATTGCTGTTATGTTTATTCGCTATTTTTCTAAGACTGACTTATATATTGATATGATTTAAAAGTTAAAGTTGAGTGTCAAAATTAGTAAATTAATAATTAAAAACGTCAATTCTTGAACCAATGGGTGTGTGTTAGGACGCTGCATATTATATCCGGGACGCAATAACTCCGCTGTAGTTACCTTTTACAATAATAATATAAGAGATATGCAGATACTTGTGGACTTCGTCGGTACACATATAGCACTTATACCTATATTGTATATTATAATAATGTATATAACAGGAAAGGAAAAGCTGCGAGGGCGGTCGGCTAGAGTAAGGGCGAGAGGAGGTACCGCCGACTTATACAAACGGCGATAACGTTATGTAGTTCAGTGGTGTTTTTATTAAGTATGTATTAGTGGCGAGAGAGGGTGCGGTGAGACATAATAGGGGATGATAGAGATTACTGTGTAATGATTACGCGCTCGGCGGTCTCGGCGGTATAAGGTGCAGCGTTTCGCCCTAACGTCAGCGGTGGTGGCGGCGGCGCCGTTGGTAATGAAAAGTTAAATAACACGTGCGCGCCGTCTGTGGCGTCGGCATCGGCGGCGGTGGTGGTTAGAGAATCGCGCCAAAAACGGCCGCCACCGCACACCACCCCGCCTACGCTCGGCGCAGTAATTACGACCGAACACCCGTCGCCCACCCGACCACCCACCCACATGTCCTGTCGGGAAACACGTCGCGCGCGCTCGTCACCTCCACACCGCCGATTTTGTGATGGTGTCCGCCGCTGTCCGCGTCGTCGTCCTCGTCGTCGCAATCGTCGTCGTCATCGTCGTCGTCGTCGTCGTCACCGTCGTCTTCGTCGTCGTCACCGGACGTGCAGGCGCCAGCGGATCTATCGCCGGCGGCGGCAGCGGTGGTGGCGGACGGTTGCTGCTGCTGCGGCTGGAGATGGCCCACGAGTTGATGTTGGTGATGGTGACCCGCGGCCGCCTGCAAGTGCAATCCGTGTGCGTTGTGCAGCGCGGTGACGTGGTGATGGCCACCGACGCCGTGGTGGACGTGGGGGTGCAATTGTAACTGTTGCTGTTGCAGCTGTTGGTGGTGCTGCTGCTGTTGGTGGTGCGCCTTGACGGCTTTGCCGAAAGTGGCGGCCACGTTTGCGGCCAACAGACGTTTGTAGTACAGCGACGGGCTCAGCATCAGCGACTCGGCCGGCCGCAACTTGGCAGCCGCAGCGGCCACGGCTGCGGACGCAACAGACCCTCCGGCCGCCAAGTCTTCCGGTGTCGGTCGTACGGTCGGTGGCGGAGACGGTGGAGCCGGTGACGGCGGAGATCGCGGCGCCGGCGGTGGTGCCGTCGGCAGCAACGGTGGTGGCAGCGGCGGTGGTGGCGGTTCTGGTGATAGCGGCGGTGGAGGTGGTGGCGGTGGTGGAGGCGGCGACCGCGAAACCGCATCGTCATCGTCACCGTCGCCGCCGCCGTCATCGTCGTCGTCGTCGTCCGGCCGCTGCTCGTTTCGCTGCCGTGTCGTCATAGCAGTGGCTGGCGGCGTGGCGACAACGGAAACAATATTAATATGTACTGATGTGACGGCAGTGGCTCGCGCGCTCCAATGACGTCGGCGAGTGCACGAGCGGTACGTGTCCGTTCACCGCGATTGTCCGTGTATTATGTGAAATATTGTGAGCGTCGTTGTGTATGTGTTGAGTTTTTTATGTGTGTGGAAAATGTCTCGCGCTAGGGAAAACCGTACAGAACGAACGATGCCGGAAAACTGAGAAGGGGAAAAAAATCGTCCGCGGCGAGCGCACACACACACACATGAGATACATGCAAGACAAAAAGAAAAAAAAACCTCGGGACGAAGAAAAGGAACAGGGGTGGGCATCGTCGCGACGACGTCGGGGAGGTGCAATATGAGAGCGAGCGCGAGACGGCAGAGTTAGTGAAAAAGAGGGAAACAGAGAGAGCGAGAGGGATTGAGAGAGAGGGTGTGAGAGACAGAGTGGGAGTGAGGGAGTATTGAATAAAGGTGGGTCGTGGAGAGGGGAAGGCAAAGGAAAATGGAAACATCGTACGAGTTTAGGACGCAGTGGAAGGGGTACATAACGTCTACCCGCCATCAACCCACCCTCGCACGCACACCCCATCGTCCCCCCTCAACTTTTTATTATATATATTTTTTTTCGCCCTTGTACACTTATTGTATTTTCCCTTTTTTCCGAGGACGCGTTCTTTCTGTTCTTTTTTCTCGTTTCCTTTTTATTTTTTTATTTTATTTTTTTATCCCATTTTTTTTTTTTTTTTTTTTGTCAGGGGTGTATTTTCTTCTTTTTCGGGTTGTGCATCCTACGCGCGTATGTGCGATATATATATATATATATAATATTATATATATGTATATGCAATAATAATTTGACTATGAATATTAAACGAGATATACAGAAAACAGACACGAAAAAAACAAACACAACTGAGGGTCAGGGTAGACACAAAAAAGCGTGGAAAGTCGAGCACGCAAGAACCGATGCCAAACCGTTTTACCGCTTCGGTCGTTGACGATGATGGGCGATAAGCAGGATGTCGTGATAAGGGTGGAAGAGGTGGTAACGAGCACGTTCCTAATTGAAGTGGTCATAAGATTATTTTGTAGAAAAAAAAAACGGTTTTATTACTTACCTACTTCTAGAATCGAGAAATGTTAAATCTAACAACTTAAAGTTTAATGCATATTAAATCACTATAATATTATATAAAATACCTACTTAATAACGCCCTTTGAAAATCCTAACGGCTGAAGATCCCTTTTAGATTATTATTATCTTATATTATATTGTGCAGTGAACACGAAAGATTATGAAAACTACGGAGCGCACAAACTGACTCCATACGGAACATTTGATCCATCAAAATATAATTGATAGTTAGAATAGACATTTGTTTAAATTATCACTTTGTGGGTACGCTTTGTTATAATAATATAATAGATAGTTGTAGATAATGTATGATTGATATATATTTTACAATAGTTTTAACTTTGCAGTAATATTTAACTTTTTTAAAAATTTGAGACTATAATCTATATAAGCTTATGCTATATATTTTATGCTAATTGCTCCCAAATAGATAATATATGTTTTGTTGTTGAAATGAAATAAATGTGTCGATCACTAGGCGCACAATTTTTTTCTCTATCTGGCCCACGTGCAACATGGCAATAATGTACGTGCGAACCACTTGTGTTATGAGCTGTAATATTAGACAGAATCGACTTAGCATCAAACTTTAAGTTCAGATTATCATCTGAGTTTATAAGTTGGATTTTTTACGATATTTCAATTTGGATGCAAGTTCTGAGTACCTATATCTAAACACAGTTAAAAAATGTTCATAAATGGCAAAAAAATTAAAATTCCGTAAAATTATCAACGCTGCTGTACACAGATAATGTTCCTAGTTTCAATACTGATATTTGGTCAATTTGTTCTAATAATAATAAAGCGAACAACATAAGATTGGTTCTGCTTGGATGCAAATTTGCTATGTCAGGCGTGGATTGGAGAGAGAGTACGCAAATAATGCACTGACATCCACTGCTATTCCTGCCTAAAATTATACAAAGTTTAATTGCAATGTACATTATCCATAAATCCACAATTTGATATTTATTTTTAGTTGACAATGTTTCATGTATTATGTATTAAATAATATATTTGCTGTTTTTACATCAGTCTATAGATTACTAATAAATTACCTATGTAAAATTGTAGAGTTATTGAAATAGACACATACAAAAAAAAAACCATAGGTATACCTAGTAATATTTCTAAAAGAACAAGTTTATTATTAAATACTTTTAGTGGCCTAATAGTGGACAAAGTAGAGTATATGCCCTGAAAATGTATAATATAAACTTATAATTAATATGGTTATGTGTGACAACCAATTAAAACCTAATAACCTGCATTTTACATAACTTAACACTTTAACGTATATAATATAGTTTTCACTAATTATAATGATTTTGTCAATTCTAAGAATAGTCTGTATCGAATTCGCATTAATTATGCCATTGCTTTATGCGGTAAAAAAAATCACAATCATTATTGACACGGTAAAAATAAAACTAGTTAACTAAAATGTTTGACTGTAATATGCCTTCAGTCACATAAAGTTATCATTGAAAATGTTTTTAAAAAATGTCTACTACTGCTATTACATACTTTTTTTTCAATACATAATTTAATACAATCGTGAACCTACGGGTTTCGGATAAAAATATAATAAACAATTACTCTGAAATACTAACACTAATAATTCGAATAAAATAAAATAGCTTTTGATAAAAATAACTAATATATATAGTATATATACGCAGTTCGGCAGTTAAATCAAATAATCAAAATAAGTAGAACATTAAACAAAAAGTGTATAATAATATAATAAGATTTTCTGAATAGAATATCGCGTTCTAAATGTCGGCCAAGTATACCGTCACTCATTGGTTTACGAGCTAGAGGATTGGCGAAAATTTATTACATGCATTCAACTATTGTTAACAAGCTTAAGTAGGTGGTATAAACCCAACCGCAAGAGCCCGTGAAAAGTAAAATAATAATAAAAATACAAGAGCTCACATTTATAAGTATGATCATGTATTTTTTAGATTTGTGACGGTAAAAAAGAGCTTTAAATTTTAATATCGTTTGACTCGTATAATATTCACCCTTTGGGACCAACATATCCGCCTTGTTATTTTATCTTTTTTTTTACTGAGGGCGTGTAAGAAAAACTCTTCAGTTTTTTTCCCACTCTATCCGTCGCTCACAGATCCCCTCTCAATTTTATTTCATTTTCCTAAACACATTAAGTCTCTTCGAGAGACTTTTTTTTTTTACAGACAGTTTTTTTTTTTCGTTACCCCTTTTTGGGATTATCATAATAATAATAAATGATTTTAAATTACAAACAAAAAACATACGCCTAATCATAAATATAAACGGCTTGTTTGTACGAAAAATACCGGGGGTTTCCAATAACACAAACAAACATTGAAGGCGGGCTATGCTAATTTGGGGCCCGAGGTGCCAATTTATTCCGCCCAAATCACACGCAAAGGTGTCGCGGTAGATTCCTGTCGTGGAATTCATTTAAAAAGAAGGTATGAAAACGGGTCATAGCAGGAAGTTAAAAAAAAAAAAACATAAATACGTCATTTCACTTTTTATGAAGGGTGCTATTAGCAAAATACAAATAGAAAATAATTTTTCTTTCAACAGTCACTACATAAAGATAATCTTTTATTTTATTTTTATAATTGTTAAACAGTTAAGTAAAATGTTGTTAAGGTTATAAATGTAATGTTTAAAGTAAACACTTTGAAATAAATTATGATTCGTAATAAATATAATGTTAAAATATAATATTATTATGTATAAAAAAAAAACTGTTTCGTAGTACTTTAACTTGTTAATTTTTGAGATGTAAGTATAATAAACATAGCTTGTATTTTATACTTTATTAAATATACTGTTATAATTATTTAGAAAAATAAAGAATAAAATATTCGTACATATTTAATCATTTATTGAACGTTAAAAATACGAAAAAATGTGTTAATGATTTAAAAATTTATAGTGTATGAAAGCATATAATTAAAATTGAATTTTTAATAATAATATTTTATTTTTACAAATTGGTAATAATTATATAATATATTAACCATCTAGAGTTCTAGCAGATAATATATAGGTACTCGAATATCCATTCACCGAAATGTCGTTCATTAAATTGTCCAGATACCACTCAAATTATTTGGATTAAATTACTTTATTATCTTAATGATAAAAGTTAAATGCTAATTTATCAATAAGTTGCGATTTTTCGATGATACTATAACTAAAAAAAAAAAAAAATTAAATGCCTTTTTTATGTCCACAAAAAATCATTCAATAATAATATTCACAAATAATTCAAGATTATAGATATAGCATAGGTATTGGGACTTTGTTTTATATATTATAAAAATAAAATTGTTTTGTAATAATAAATCATTGTATTCCGAAAAACAATTTTGAATTGAGCATGATTTAAATGCTGGATATCAGTCAAAAAACATTTTTATAATTACAAATTAATTTGAAGTGGGCATGCTCTAAAATTACAATGAAATTCGAAAAACAACCAATTAGAAATACAATTTGTGTTCAATTTCCAATGACGCAAATTATCGAGTGTTCTATAGTAGAGCGAAGGTTTTAAAAAAAAAAACCCTTAAAGAACAATCGTTATAAAACCAATACATCCCTCGTTCCACTCCGAATATAAAATATTTATTAACAGGTGCAATTGTTACACATTATAAAATCTGTTTTTCCAAAAGAAAGCATTATTCAAACAAGGACTGAATAGTAATAAACCTGATTATATTTACCTTATTTTATAACAATTATATGAGTATATACGAAGTAAGAATAAACTACGTATTTAAATGGAATACATTTTAAATAGGAGTAAACTTGATGTTATATTATA